AGATTAATTTCTGGGTTCTCCTTTCTGTTCCATTCATCTATGTGTTTTTTTTTAATGCCTGTATCATGCTGTTTTGGTTACTAGAGCTTCATAGTATATTTTGAGTTCTGGTAGTGCAATACCTCCAGCTTTGTTCTTTTTGTTTAGGACTGCTTTGGCTATTTGGGGTCTTTTGTGGTTCCATACAAATGTTAGGATTTTTTTTTTTTCTCTGAAGAATGTCTTTGGTGTTTTGATAGAAATTGCATTAAATCTGTAGATTGCTTTAGATAGTATTCTCATTTGAACAATATTAATTTTTCAATTCATGAGCATAGGATGTTTTTTCAGTTGCTTGTATCCTCTACATTTTCTTTTGTCAGTGTTTTGAAGTTTTCCTTGTAGACATCTTTCACCTACTTGGTTAAATTTTTCCTAAGTTTGTGGGGTTTTTTGTAGCTATTATAAATGGTGTTGTTTTGATTTCTTTTTAAGCTACTTTCTGGTTTGTGTATAGAAATGCTACTGATTTTTGTATGTTGGTTTTGTATCTTGCAACTTTACTGAATTTGTTTATCAGATCTGAGAGTTTTTTTGTAAAGTCTTTAGATTTTTCCATTTATATAAGATCATTTCATCTGCAAACAGGGACAGTTTGACTTCTTCCTTTCAGTTTGAATGCCCTTTCTTTCTTTCTCTTACCTAACTGCCCTTGCTGAATTGTTACATCTGATGGGGAATGTAGGGTCTTTTAATTCTATATCCTCAACTACCATTTTATTTATTTTACCTGAGCATGTGCATTCTATAATGTTAAGAAAACAAAGCATGATAGTTTTCAGTAATTACCAGTATTATAGCAGCAATCAGTAACTGGCCTTTGGTGATTTAGATTTCCTTGGTGAGTTAGAAATCTAATGGGAGCAGTTTGGGAATCTGTATCCTAACAGATGTTTCAAGTGGTCCCCATGGTCAGATAACTGTACTAGAGAAAGAGTGAACTGCATACAAATATTCATAATTAAGATTAAGAGGAAGTTATCATAGAAAAATTTTAAAAGTAAGACTGCTTTGAATGATGCTCAACTAAGAAATTATCAAATTTGGAGATGATAAATGTTTCTCTAGGAAATTATCAAATCTTAGAGATAGGCCAGGTGCGGCGGCTCACGCCTATAATCCCAGCACTTTGGGAGGCCAAGGCGGGTGGATCATGAGGTCAAGAGATTGAGACCATCCTGGTCAACGAGGTGAAACCCCATCTCTACTAAAAATACAAAAATTAGCTGGACATGGTGGCGCGCGCCTGTAATCCCAGCTACTCGGGAGGATGAGGCAGGAGAATTGCTTGAACCCAGATGGCGGAGGTTGCGGTGAGCCAAGATCGTGCCATTGCACTCCAGTCTGGGTAACAAAGCAGAACTCTGTCTTAAAAAAAAAAAATCCAAGAGATAGAAAACCTAGTTTATTTCAAATAGAATGGAAGAAACTGAGAAACCTATGAGAGCTATTGCCTCACCTGTATCACAGATGAATTATTTCAAATCATCATGAAACACATTAATTCCTAATCTATTTAAAGTATTTTAAAGCAGAGAGAAAAAAGTAGTTTGCTAGTTCTGCTGAAAAAGCCAATATAACACCAACTCCAAAGCATGGCAAAGATTATATATGCTTTAAAATTGAATTGTTCTAAGATTGTGGTTAAAATATTTTATAAATATTATTTGAAAAGTAATATACCATGTCTAAATGAAATTCATTCCAGGAATCAAAGAATGGTTCTGTGTTAGGAAATCTGTTAATGTAATTACTAATATCAATCAGAGAAAAATTATGATATTTCGTTTTCTGCCCAAAATCCAGATATGATAAAATTAACATCTTTATGTGGTTTTTGACAATATAAAATCCAAAACAAGGTTCTTAAAAGAACAGAACTAGCTTAATAGTTTCTTTAACAAAGGTGTTGGCAGAGTGTTAGCCAGTATCATGCTTAATGATAAAATACTAGAAATGATCTTGTTAAAGTTTGGAACAAGACCATAAATCGGTTGCTTCCCAATGTAAAATCCCAGTTTATTCTACAAATGATTCTTAGGATTATTTAGAAGAATAAGTATATGAGAGAAATTTCTAAACAGGAAAAAAATTGAGGGGTGGACTCATCCTATCAGATATTTAAATATTTTGAAGCTAAAGTAACTAAAACACTGGTTACAGGTCCAGGAATAGCATATAAAACTGTAACATAAGGAGCCCAGAAATAAGCACATATAAATATAGGAGTGGCTTTTCAAGTTAATGGTGAAAAGATGAATTTTTTTAAATAAATGGTTAACTTTTTCTTTTTTTTGTTATTGGGAGGGAGACAGAGTCTTGCTCTGTTCCCCAAGCTGAAGTGAAGTAGCACCATCATAGCTCACTGCAGCCTCACTAGAGCTCCTAGGCAAAAGTGATCCTCCCACCTCAGCCTCCTGAGTAGTTGGGACTATAGGCATGTGTCACCACATCCAGCTACTTTTACATTTAATTTAGTTTTTTATATAGGTGAGATCTTACCATGTTGCCAGGGCTGGTCTTGAACTCCTGGCCTCAAGCAGTCCTCCTACTTTGGCCTTCAGAGTGTTGAGATTACAGGCATGAGCCACTGCACCTGGCCTCAGTAGTTAACTATTGAGGAGGATCAAAAGGATACCTAATTTGCTTCTCATTCCAATTCCAGTTTGGTCAGACTTGTATGTTTTCAATATTAATCATAGACATTCTAGAAGAAAACTTATATAAAGACCTTTCTTTCTAAGTACAGCAAACCCAAAAGTCCTAAAGGGATAAATGACAAACTTGTATAAAATTGGTAAATTCTGTACCACCAAAACAGCTTTTTATGAAAAACAGATAATTAGGAAAACAACATGTACAATATGATCTGGATTCTGCCTAAGTCATCCATCAGCTCCATACCCATATACACACTAAGAGCTACATTCCGGTCTTTCCTTCCTGAGAGTGCTTGGTATATAGTCATTGATTAAAAGAATTAATTGCATGACATTTTGCAGGACAACATCTATAATGTAATAAAACTTTTTTTTTTTTTTGGAGATGCAGTTTCAGTCTGTCACCCAATCTGGAGGGCAGTGGCGCTACCTTGGCTCACTGCAACCTCCATCTCCAGGATTCAAGTGAACCTCCCACTTCAGCCTCCTAAATAGTTGGAATTACCAGTGCACACCACACCTGGCTAATTTTGTGTTCTTAGTAGAGTTGGGTTTCACTGTGTTGACCAGACTGGTCCTGCACTCATGACCTCAGGTGATCTGCCTGCCTTGGCCTCCCAAAGTGCTGTGATTACACGTGTGAGCCACCGCCCCCGGCCATAATAAAACTTCTTTTTTTTTTTCTTTTTTAATCAATGAGAGCTTCTTATGTTGCTCAGGTTGGCCTTGAACTCATAGCCTCGCCTCCTCAAGCGCCAGGACAACTGGCCAGAGCCACTGCGGCTCCCAATAAAACTTCTTAAAATGAATGAAGACTAACATTCCATTTAAAGTTGGGCAAGTCAGGAAAAGAAATGCAAGTGCCTAACAAATATAAAACTTTTAATAAATACCAATTAAAACAGCATTGAGATTCTGTCTCCCTTCTTGAACACTACCTCCTCATTTCTATCAATTTCCTTGATATCTTCCTGAAATGTCAACAAACTGCGCTCTCCTTTTAGGTCTTCCCTTTGTCTAGCATATACCTGGCGTATATTAGATGCATTGTTATGTAAACAGAAGTATCTAAGATGTGTAATGATCCTCTAAGAGGTGTCAAGTGGGAAGAAAAGAGTAGAGGATTGGGGCTGTGTAGTGTAGCCTTCCTTTTTTAATTCTCCTTTTCCTCATAGTTCCCTTAATGGTATTAACCTGCCTCCTTTATTCTCTTTGCCCTTTTAAAAAATTTCTTCAGAAGAACATGCCCCTTAGTGGCAGGAACAGGAACTTATTCCAGTGCTGGTCAGTCAGCAAAAATGATTCTTTTTGTGCATGTAAACAAATGGTTATTACTGTTGTGATACAACAACTTAATCATTAATGGTGCCCCTTTTTTTGGAAGTTCTATGAATACTTTTCTTCAGACAATACCACAGCATCTCTGATACCTTATCTTCCTTTGAATGTTTTGGAAAATTAGACTAAAACTGTTCTTTCTATACAAAAAGTGGTATTCTTTGAAACGATGTAACAGGGATGCCTGGTGCTTATTTTAAGATAAGATTGTAATATCTGCATAGTAGAAATCTCCAGGTTTGAGTTACAATTCTGTAATCTGAAATCCTCTGTTTTGAGTCTAATATTTACTTGTGCTAGCAAGTCTAGAAATGCTTGTTGAAAGACTGGAATGATTAATGTAGATCCTTGAACACTTTCATGCTTTAAAATAAAAGACAAATTTTGTTTGTTTTAAAGAAGAGTAGTGTAACCATATTAAATACATTTGGAAAATAAAAGGGAAACATCCAACTCTTGATCTCACCTAAAAAACGATGATAGACTTTAATAGTTTCCAAATTTGTATTTATGTGGTAAAAATTATGTATTTTTCTCTTCTTCCCCACTCGATATATCCTTAGCATTTTACCGTGTTGTTATATCATTTAAAGGCTACCACTTTAAATGGCTGCATAATAATCTCTTAGTCACATGATCCTATTTTATGTGCAGTGCTTATGAAGAAGAGTGGATGGTACGTTGTTTCTTTAAGAATGTGACTCGTAACAAAAAGTAATTATTTTAAGAAAATTGCTAATTATATAGATTTTGATAAATAGGAAAATGATGACCTTATTGTAAAGCAGTGACTTTGTTTCTAAACATATGAACCTGAAATTTGAGGAAGTTAGTTGTCAGTTGAAAGAATTATACCGTCTATTAGATAGATATTTAGAAGTTACAAACAAGTTGGGTAGCTGCTTATTTTTGAAGGGAGAATTTTGTCATGAATCTTAACGTTAACATTATGTTCTTTTGTAGATCATGGAGCTTTGTGGTGCAACAAGACTTGGTTATTTTGGAAGAAGTCAGTTCTACATTGCTTTGAAACTTGTAGCTGTTGCCCAGTCTGGTTTCCCTTTAAGAGTGGAAAGTATAAATACAGGTAAATATGGAGTATACTAGTAACTGAAAGAAAATAGGCTTCTATTACAAATGAAGTCAAGTCAGTAGAACCCGTGTCTTTCTGGTCTTATAATGGCTTGTGTGACATTGAGTGAAGTGTCATGACGTTATTTCCACTACCACCTTGCATTTCTCACTTGAAAACATTAGAAAAATATGAGTGCAGTGGCTCATCCCTGTAATCCCAGCACTTTGGGAGGCTGAAGCGGGTGGATCATCGGAGGTCAGGAGTTTGAAACCAGCCTGACCAATATGTGAAACCTTGTCTCCACTAAAAATACAAAATTAGCCAGGTATGGTGGCATATACCTGTAATCCCAGCTGGAGGCTCAGGCAAGGGAATTGCTTGAACCCGGGAGATGGAGGTTGTAGTGATCCGAGATGCTCCATTGCACTCTACTCTGGGCAACAGCAAAACTCCGTCTCAAAAAAAAAAAAGTCTGTCTTCTATTATGACATAGTATATATACTTCATCCATATTTGACTATATTCACTGTTGAAATGGCAATTTTTTTAAAGAATTACTAGAAGTTGTTTAAAAATATTTTAGGTGAATGGTTTTATTAAGGTAAATAATAAATTATAGCTACCATCTTCATCTATAGCTTCCCTATTTTCTTCATTTCTGGTAAAACAACATTATACTTTGTATTTTTTTTGTTTGGGAAGCCTTTGGAGGCTCCAGTTAAAATAAAGAAGTAATGGTTAACCTAAACTTTCTGGTTGATAGAGACAGTATTAAAATATTGGCAGACTAAAATCTAGTTATAGACATCTGACCACATTACAAGTTTGTATAAGTCTATTTTTACATTGCTATAAAGAAATCCTTGAGACCTGGTAATTTATAAACAAAAGAGGTTTAATTGACTCACTTCTACATGGCTCAGGAGGCCACAGGAAACCTACAATAATTAACAAGAGAGGTTTAATTGACTCATGTCCACATGGCTTGGGAGGCCACAGGAAACCTACAATAGTGGCAGAAGGTGGAGGGAAGCAAGGCACATCTTACACTGCCGAGAGAGAGAGAGAGAGAGAGAGAGAGAGAGGAGAGAGAGGAGAGAGAGAGAGAGGAGAGACTGCTATAGACATTTAAACTATCAGATCTCATGAGAACTCACTCCCACGGGAAACGGCCCCCCATGATCTAATCACCTCCTGTGTGGGAATTACAATTCAAGATGAGATTTGGGTGGGAACACAGAGCCAAACCATATCAAAGTATTATATCAGATAATTTGTTTTCAAGTATTTAGTGGCTCGTTGATGTGAAAGAAGATAGAAATTCTATAAAGATAGGCATTTAAAGGCAGGGGGTTCTTTTGTTTTCATAGAGTAAAGGGGAAAGACAAAAATTAAGATTTTTAAAATCTGTGAATTACAAAAAAATTTTGTAAAAATTCTGTAAATATAATTTGTAGAAATAGTTTTAAGTACCATTTTAGTTTATTGGTCAATGGAGGTTTTCATTGTAGACCTCCAGTTTGCCACACATCATTCTTCTAGTGTTGGGAGTTTACATTCTTTTCAGGTAATTTTGAATTCTTTTACATGTATATTGAATAAGCTTAATAGTTTACCTCCTTCATATGGAGGTTCTAAAGAGAGACAAAGGTAATCATGTAATGGAGGTAAGTACGCTTTCCTCTGAAATAATTCTGTACCTGTATTTGTTCTGGGCTAAAAGTATGATTTAACGGTTTACTTGCAAAGAATTTCTCAGTCTTTCATCTTTCTCCTCTATTTGAAATTGAATGTAGAATATCTGACTGTAGGAGAGCCATAAGCCAGACTACAGTGGATAGATAGAATACTCTGTATCATGTTTTTGGTAGGTGAACAGTAAGATATGTTTAGGAATTTCTGCCATGAAAATTTGTAAATCTAGTCTCAGACTTAGTGACATTTCTGTGTTTTACTTAGAGCTCTAAAATCTTACTTTAGAGACCCAGTGTGAGTAGAAGCAGCCTAGGCTTTGGGGTCTAACACTAACTGTCAGTCACTACAGGCATGAGGTTGGCATCACAGAGTGTCAGTTTCCTTATCTGTAAATAGGGGTTTTGCAAGGGTACTGTGGTTACGAGGTGAAATAAATATTCAATGACAAGTATAGGGCCAAACATACATAGATATTTAATGTAGCTATTGTTATTATGCATTAGAAGGACCTTGGCATCACAGAGCCTTGGTTTCCTTATCTGTAAATAGGGGCTTTGCAGGGATACTGTGGTTACTAGGTGAAATAAGTATTCAATGACAAGTATAGGGCCAAACATGTAGACATTTAATGTAGCTATTGTTATCACTCATTAGAAGGACAATTTGGTTTTATTGCTTCTTTCTAGGTAAGAGTCTCCCTAAATAATGTAAGGGAGATGATGCCCAAATTTTGTAGTGATAGACATTTTGTACCTGTTGTTTCTGTATCCATTTTTACAAAAATTCTAATGTCTAATTCATGTCTTACTTTAGTTTTTAATGTATGTGTCCTTTTTTATTTTAAAGTAATAATTATTTTTTGGTTAACAGTAAAGGACCTTCCTCTGCCAAGATTTGTTGCTTCAAAGAATGAACAGGAATCTCGCCATGCAGCCTCATATTCTTCAGATTCTGAAAATCAGGGTTCATATTCTGGTGTGATTCCCCCACCACCTGGCAGGGGGCAAGTGAAAAAGGGATCCGTAACCCATGATACGGTTCAGCCTCGTACATCTGCAGATGCACAGGTAATCACATGCATGTAAATATTAGCAGTAGATGCCCTCTGCAGATGCTTACACTAAAACGTTTATTGCAACCTTAATAATTAAAATGTCTCCTTAAAACTAAAATGTTAAAATAATATTCTTTTCTAGGAACCTGCATCCCCAGTAGTTTCACCACAGCAATCTCCACCAACTTCTCCACACACATGGAGAAAGCACAGCCGTCACCCCAGCGGTGGGAATAGTGAGAGGCCTCTTGCGGGATCTGGGCCATTTTGGTTTCCCTTTGGTGAAGCACAGTCAGGTATTATTTAGAGATTGATTGCTTGATTAGAGTGTCATTGTGTTGCCCAGGCTGATCTTGCACCCCTGGGTTTAAATGATCCTCCTGCCTCAGCCTCCTGAGTAGGTGGGGATTATAGGCTTGTGCCACAGAACCTGGCTTAGAGATAATTGTTTTAAGTAACAATTATTTAGGATTGTAAATTGAAGGAAACTTGATAATATTTCTTCAAGAGTGGCCTCCAAGACAGTTTTTAATTGTAAATGAAGTTAAATAGAAGCAAAAACCAACTATGGAAATTTTTAAGTGAATACATTGCTTTGAAAAGTGGTAATTGCATTTATGGATACCAGATTCTCTAAAGGTGTAAAATAAATAATTATTTCTCAGAATATTATATATATATTACATAAATTTTATTAGTATTGACAAGGAGAGCACAAAATAATTGAAAAGATTTAAATGAGGTGTAATTTGTAATTGAACAGAAAAGATTCCATTTTGGAAGTTGTTGGATTTCTTCAGAGTTAGTTTGAAAGACAACTTCCTGGTAACGTAAGTTTTTTCTTCAAACATGAGTCAGCATGTTTACCCATTCTCCTTATAGGTTCTTCTGCTGGTGATGCAGTGTGGTCAGGGCATTCCCCACCTCCACCTCAAGAAAACTGGGTCAGTTTTGCAGATACTCCACCAACCAGTACTCTTTTAACCATGCATCCTGCTTCTGTCCAGGTGTGACATTTTATTGGTATTGCATTTTTATTTGCTTCATTCAAAGTATTGCTGCAGTCATTGTTTTTATATTTTGCTGTTGCAGATTTTATAAATGCAAATTCACTCATTTATTTAAAAAAAGCAAAATTCTGCTCTGTGCATTTGAAGTCTGTTATCATTGGAATGTTTCAGCTGGTTTTATTTCTGTTTCTGATTTCCTAGTAAAGTTTTGAAAGGTTTCTGAGTCTGGAAATATATTTGCTTGGCTTTCTTAGCACATTTTCATAACTTTCTGTTGCTTACATAATTGCTATCATTCTACACATTTCTATAATCATTGTGCAAAAACATATCCAATAATCTGACTGTAACAAATATGTGGTTTTACATTTTAAATGTCCACAAAAAGCAAGTTTTACTTTCAAAGATAAATAACCTAGCAATCTTGGTCCATATAGTCATGTAGGTAGATACTATACTGAGGAAAAAATGTTTCATTACAGGACCAGACAACAGTACGAACTGTAGCATCAGCTACAACTGCCATTGAAATTCGTAGGCAATCCAGTAGTTATGATGATCCCTGGAAAATAACAGATGAACAAAGACAGTATTATGTAAATCAGTTTAAAACCATTCAGCCTGATCTAAACGGATTTATTCCAGGTGAGTTTTTGAAAACAGAAGTTCTTCTAGATGGGACAGGACAAAGTCTCAATTTCATAATCCCAAAGACATTGTTTTATTGGTCATAGATTTTAATTATACAAGATAATGATCAAATAATTTTCTAAAAATTTATAATCACTGGGGGCCAAAAACATGACATATTCACATATTAAAAATATCTTTCCCCAACTGAAAAAGTCTAAGACTTTTATATTCTGTTCATGGATCCATAAATTCAGAATAACATTAAACAAAACTGTTTTAATATTTCAGGATCTGCAGCTAAAGAGTTTTTTACAAAATCAAAACTTCCTATTCTTGAACTTTCTCATATTTGGTAAGTGTGGTATATCATTAGTTGGGTAACTGGGTTTGCTTCCAAGGAGTTTATAATAGACAGATTTTAGAGCCTTGAAAAATAAACGACTAACCCCTTCTAGAATGCTGTCAAAGAACTTAGTATTGCCTTACAATAGCCAGCTTCTCTCTTATTCTGCAGAAGAAGTAAGTGATACTGATAAAGTAGTACTTTTATAAAGAGCTAAAATTCTTTAAGCTGTATCAGGTGTTTTTTCGTTGCTAGCATAATGCATGAGATAAAGTTAGTTTGCACATACATGGTTATATTATCCCATTTGGTTTTTTTTGTCATGTTTAGTAAGTTCTATACCATGCCATAAGATTAGCTTCCATTTAAACAGATACTGAGAATAGCTGTGTTGGAATGTTGTTGGAATTGGCCACAGAACACAAAGTGCAATCACAAAAAAAGAGGCTGGGGCTGGGTGCAGTGGCTCACACCTGTAATCTTAGCACTTTGGGAGACCGAGGCAGGCAGATTGCATGAGCCCAGGAGTTTGAGACTAGCCTGGGCAACATAGTGAAACCCTGTCTCTACTAACAATACAAAAAATTAGCTGGGTGTGGTGGCGTATGCCTGTAATCCCAACTGTTGGGGAGGCTGAAGCATGAGAATCGCTTAAACCTGTTAGGTCGAGGTTGCAGTGAACTGAGATTGTGCCACTTCACTCTAACCAGGGTGACAGAATGAGACTGTCTCAAAAAAGAAAAAGGCTGGGTGTGGTGGCTCAAGCCTGTAATTCCTGCACTTTGAGAGGCCGAGGCACATGGATTGCTTGAGCCCAGGAGTTTAAGACCAGCTTGAGCAACATGGCGAAGCCCCGTCTCTACAAAAAATAAAATTAGCAAGATGTGGTGGTGCACGCCTGTAGTCCTGGCTACTTGGGAGGCTTACGTGGGAGGATTGCTGGAGTCCAGCAGGCAGAGTTTGCAGTGAGCTGAGATCATGCTACAGCACTCTAGCCTGGGCAGCAGAGCAAGACTCTGTCTCAAAACAAATAAATGGTTATCAGATAAATATATATGTTAATTCCACTGTATATAAATGTATTTCTCTATATTCTAAATCATTTTTAATAGGTTTTTGGTACCATAGCATGCTGTAATATGAGGTAGGTATCTAACACCTAAAACTGAAAACTCAAAAACTAGTAATATTATGTATGCTATTTATGGTTTAAGGCAATAAAGACAAAAGTGGTTGTCTGTGTAGCTAGGAAAGGGTATAGACAGCAAGGTGGAGAGGCTGTGTTTTTGTTTTAAGCCTTGCAGTTTTTTGTTTGTTTTTTTTTTGAGATGGAGTTTCGCTCTTCTTACCCAGGCTAGAGTGCAATGGCGCGATCTCGGCTCACTGCAACCTCCGCCTCCTGGGTTCAGGCAATTCTCCCGCCTCAGCCTCCTGAGTAGCTGGGATTACAGGCACGTGCCACCATGCCCAGCTAATTTTTTGTATTGTTTTTTTAGTAGAGACGGGGTTTCACCATGTTGACCAGGATGGTCTTGATCTCTTGAACTTGTGATCCACCCGCCTCGGCCTCCCAAAGTGTTGGGATTACAGGCGTGAGCCACCGAAGTCTTGCAGTTCTACTCAGTTATTTAAAGTACATACATACTGGCCAGGTGCAGTGGCTCACACCTGTAATCCCAACACTTTGGGAGACAGGTGGGTGGATCACTTGAGGTCTGTAGTTCAAGACCAGGCTGGCCAACATGGTGAAAACCCATCTCTACTAAAAATATAAAAATTAGCCAGGTATGGTGGCGCATGCCTATAATTCCAGCTACTCAGGAGGCTGAAGCAAGGAAATCACTTGAACCCAGGAAGTGGAGGTTGCAGTGAGCAGAGATCGCACCATTGCACTCCAACCTGGGCCACAGGAAGACCCCATGTCAAAAAAATAAAAATGAAAATGAGATAAATTACACACATGTTGAATTTTGATAACATAAAAACATTTTTAAAATGTCACTAACTTACTACATATGCCTTACTTCTAAAAATGCATGTGAGTTATAGGTCATCCTTTTTGATGACCTTAATTATTGGGGCCACTTTTTAGAGAATTTCAAACACACAGGAAAGTTTAAAGAAAAGTACTGTGAACACTCATATGCCACCACCTAGATTCTGCAGTTAACATTTTGCTGCATTTGCTGTATTACATATCTTTTCATGTATGGGATTTTTAGAATTACTGACTTTTTACACTTTCTCATGGAAGATATTTCTCTTGCTTTTTTTCTTTTTTTTGAGAAATAAAAGGATCCAAAGTGGAATGTGATTATATTCACAATAAACTTATCTTCTAGGGAACTCTCAGACTTTGATAAAGATGGTGCATTGACACTAGATGAGTTTTGTGCTGCTTTTCATCTGGTGGTTGCTAGGAAGAATGGCTATGATTTACCAGAAAAACTTCCTGAAAGCTTAATGCCCAAACTGATTGATTTGGAAGATTCAGCAGGTAAGATTGGGAGCTGAAGAGAGCTATTTGCATGCCTTGATAAATATAATGCTTGATTCTGAAAGCATCAATATAGAGGTCAGCCTTAGCTTAACAGCTTAGATATTTTCATCAAGTGTACATAGATTTGTCATCAGAATAGGATATATGGGCTAAATTTGGATTTGTCTTATGCAGTCTACTTTAAAAAATAAAGATAAGTAATATGTACCACTGTTTCACCTTTATACTTGTGACTTGCTGAGATTCGAAGAGCATTTCGTTGTCTTACTTTGCTATTCTTTAATTGTGATATATATTGTATCAAGTGGGTAAAGTAGCCCATCTTCATTATAAACATTTTTCTCTTTAATACATCTTAATTTGTTGAAGGGAAATTACTTGGTTCATCATTAGACCTTTCTTGCTGTGAGCATTTTCCTTTAAAATGCCGAGCTCTCTTCTACAGACTCTAAAGAAATCTGGACTTTTTGTGTTTGATTTTAGAGAGTGCTGTGTTGTTAATAAGAATGCTAAATGTTCATATTTATTGCGACCTTTTTTTTTCTTTTTTTTTTTTTTTGGTGAGACAGAGTCTCACTCTGTTTCCAGGCTGGAGTGCAGTGGTGAGATGCTGGCCCATTGCAACCTCCGCCTCCTGGGTTTAAGTGATTCTCCTGCCTCAGCCTCCTGAACAGCTGGGACTACAGGTGCATGCCACTACACCCAGCTAATTTTTGTGGGTTTAGTAGTGATGGGATTTCACCATATTGGCCAGGATGGTCTCGATCCTTTGAGCTTGTGATTCACCCTCCTCGGCCTCCCAAAGTGCTGGGATTACAGGTGTGAGCCACCATGCCCGGCCTGGACCTTTCTTTAAAAAGAAAAGGAAAATCAGGGCTTAAAAATTAGTAAATTTTTCTTAAATTCTTAGCAAATAAAAGGAAATATAATGTTTAATTCTTAATGAGCCTAATTAAAATAAATTATTGTCTTCAGTGTTTCTATCTAAACTCTCTTTTGGATATAATGATGGAAGGAATTTTATACTTTTAAAGTGGAAGTTTAAATAGAATTTGGCTCTGAAAGGGGCATTTATCTATCAGGCAGTATGTCTTTAAAAATGTACATGGTCTGACTCAGTTGTCTAAATTACACAGAAGGAATCAGATGCATAAATTTACTGTCACAAAGAGAACAGCCTCATTGGAGTCCAGTGTTCTTCCAGTTTTGCTAATTTTGCCTGTGACTTTGGGCAAGTTCTGATCATTTACTGTATTTTCCCCTTCTGTTTCTCCACCTGAAATGTGGATTTGATGCCATTCACATTTCAGGACCTGAATTGCACACTGATGTTCTATCAACCAGTAGGTTGATTCTAAAAATATAGCATTGATTTTAATTTTTTAAGCCACTTTTTCTATGAGAGTCCTAGGATTTGGGGATCATTTCAGGTAGTTGTGAAGTGTCATCCTCTAACTTGAGCTGAAAGCTAAGTATCTTTATTAGGTAATTTTGCTTCAAAGTACTTTGTTTTACCTACTTAAGAAATAATAACAACTTCTTTGTTGTTTACACTATGATAATAACCAAAAGAAGAAAATGTGGTAATTCACACTTTCAGTATCCCTGACTTAAAAATTGGACTTGCACCTACAGCTTTTATATGACTTCAAGCCTTTGAAAACTGATAGCATAATAATACAAGAAAATAACTTAAACAAAGTTTAATATATTGTAGGTGATTTTGTAGAGGCTTGTCTGATTCTGTCGTCTGTTATATTCATTGACGAATCTGCTTTTTGCATATATCTAATGGGTTTCTTTTTCCTTTATTTAATTTAAATAAAAATCAAGGTCTTTGTAAATTTGACCTATAAGGTTGATGGTTCAAGAAGTTTTTTTCTGGGCATTTCTCTTTTTGTCTAATTTTACACCTGTTATATCTGTTTAACAAAGAGGAGACTGATTTTATTGCCTGTTTATATCTGTGTACTGTTGTTCCACATATAATTTTAAATGTATCACAGTCCCAGATTGTATTTTCCCCCTCCCAACATATGGTTTTCTGACCAAACTTACTGTATACTTTGGGATCATGCAGTATTACATTGAAATCTGCTCTACATATTTACAAATGATAAATTTTGGAATTCTCTTGATTCTGGGATGAGCCAATATAAATTATCATTATTCTTTCACCTATCATAAACCTGAGATTCACATGACAAAAAGTCCTTTGAGTATAGAAATTGTCTTGTGACACTGTGGGTCAGTCATAAAAGTCATTGTAAAAATAGCTGTGTTTTTAAAGGTCACAGTTAAGAGGGTAATGCTCAAATAGTTTCTTTTGACTGATAATATAATTTGTTGTAAATATTCCCTCTGTAGAGCCTTTCTGACTATGGCAGAGGCAGTTTCTCTCTTTTCTGATCTCTCATAGCATCTTCTACATGCTAATCACTGAAACATACCACACTAAATCCTGTTTCTTCCCCCTTTTGGTCGCTATACTCTGAATTCCTTGAAACAAGGGAAATGGATCCTATTTATTGTAGTATGCTCAAAACCTATCACCTTGCCAGGCACTGCACTAATATTGGATGAATTAATTCTACATGTGTGCCATTTTCAAAGAAAGGTATCTTTTAAAGGTACCTTTAAAAATATAGCGATTTGTTATCCTAAATTTATGATGTTGGGACATACTAAAGCATTAGTTCTACAAATATTACTTACAGTTTAACTCTTAAAGGCAAATAGATGGTGAGCAGTGGTCACTTGAGGTACAACTCCTTTGAGTAACATGCTTGGCTTTTTATAGACATGAAAACATGAGTGGGTAAATGTGCATTTTTTCCAAAATTACTTGAACCAGGTATACAGGGTTAAATCATAGATAAAATAGAACTATTAAGGATTATAGGTAGAAATACTTCTGTAGACCTGAATTCGAATATTTAATAAATAACGTCAGCACTGAATTTGGCAGCTAAAATAAATAGAAAGGGAAACTTGATTTTTGTTGTCTCATAGAAGAAAGCATACAAAAATTCATCTGCAGAATGAGCTTTCTGAAGCTGAATTGAAGAATATTTATCTTTTTAAGAATATTTATCTTCTTAACAATAAAAAAAAGAAGATTGGCCAGGCGCTGTGGCTCAACGCCTGTAATCTCAGCACTTTGGGAGGCCGAGGTGGGCCTATCATGAGGTCAGGAGATTGAGACCTTCCTGGCTAGTGGTTGAAACCCCATCTCTACTAAAAATACAAAAAATTAACTGGGCTCAGTGGCAGGTGCCTATAGTTCCAGCTACGCGGAAGGCTGAGGCAGGAGAATCGCTTGAACCCAGGAGGCAGAGGGTGCAGTGAGCCGAGATGGCGCCATTGCACTCCAGCTTGGTGGCAGAGCATGACTCCATCTCAAAATAATAAATAAATAAATAATAAAAGATTAAGATGACCTGCTACAAACAGGTTGAGGTGCTATACATTTTAATGTCCAAAGAATCTTCTCCTTTGAAGCACAGTTGCAATCTTACATGGACTTTGTGATTGTTTGATACGTATCTTTCTCTCAAACTAGACTAGAGCCTTCTAGGAAGGTAGGAACTGGATCAGTTTTGTTCATTGTATCTCAGTGCCTGGCAAGGTGCAAATTGAGTATAGGAATAGACAGACATTCAGATTGTTGAAATGATTAAGTGACTGAGCCAGTGATTTTTAACTATTTTCTAGCTCTACACCACACTGCTAACATATGCAACTCGGCAATCTCTGTTTGAGATGCAGAAAGAAGGAAAGGGATGTGAGCTCCCTGTCTACATCTCCTTCTGCATAATCACTATTTTAACACAGTAGATTTGGGCACATGTTTCACTGCTGTTTATAAGGTGCATTGCATGGATCCACAATCTCTAAAACTATTTCCAACATGAATTTTTTTTAACCCAGAGAAGAGAAGGCACATGGGTCTTTCCATGAATAGTTTACTAGAAACCATGTAAATTCAGATTTGAGACTACCTTGGTGCAAGTAAATTACTCTTGAGAGTTTCTGTTACATTCATCCATAAATTTTTACCATATATATAAAAACGTATGCACAGGTATTGATGTATATACAGATACAATCATACTATACATCCTTGATTTTTTTTTTTCGTATAATGTTGGACATGTTTTTACTGTATAATTGATGCACTTTGGCTATGTCCCCACCCAGATCTCATCTTGAATTCTCACGTGTTGTGGGAGAGACCTGGTGGGAGGTAACTGAATTATGGGGTCAGGTCTTTACCATGATGTTCTTGTGGTAGTAAATAAGTCTCATAAGATCTGATGGTATTATAAAGGGAGTTGCCCTGAATAAGCTCTCTCTTTGCCTGCTGCTGTCCATGTAAGATATGACTTACTCGTCCTTGCCTTCCGCTGTGATTGTGAGGCCTCCCTAGCCATGTAACTGTAAGCCCATTAAACCTCTTTCTTTTGTAAATTGCCCGGTCTTGAGTATGTCTTTATCAGCAGTGTGAAAATGGACTAATACAATAATATATAGAGCTATCACATTTATCATTCAAGGTATTCCATAATACGATGTGTACCTTAATTTAACCATTTCTTATTGATAGATTTTGGGATTGTTTTCTGGCTTTGCCTTTAAAACACTGCTGCAGTGAATATGCTTATATATATATATCTACCTATCTTTGTTTTGAATGAATAACCCAGAATCTTTGTTTTTGAAAATTCATTATCCAGGTACCTTTAGTTGCAGAGGAAAAAATAATGAAAATATGCACTAATGCTTGTCATTAACTTTCTAATTAAGAAATTACTTCTCAAACTACCCCTCCACCCCAAACATACTCTGTCCCTGTCTGTCTTCCCCCCACCCCCCATCTCTGTTATGTGGCATTTCTTTCCAGATAATCCGGGTATTGTAGCTGATAAATCAGTACAGTTGAATTACAGATATTAGTAAAGATGTACCATTTAATGAAATTGGTCAGAGTAAATAGA